AGCAAACCATCTCCTGCAGATTTGCTTAGACATTTTGAGTTCTGAATGAACACATTTCTCTGAGATGAATCCTTCCCAGCCACCCCATCTGCAAATGTGTCCCAGGAAGAAACTGCCAACCTACCCTGATTGCAGGTGGGGTTAGCATTGCAAACCTTTTGCTCAACCCTACTTAACTGGATATCTAAAAACCTGCATTTGAATGCTCAAATTGGCTTATATTATTTTTATTATTATTTGTATTATGCTAGAGCCTCGGCGCCCCAGTCATGGACTAAGACCCCGTTGTGCTAGGTGCTGTACAAACAGAACAAAAAGACAGTGCCTGTCCCAAACAGCTTACAATCTTAGGGCTTGTCTACATGAATATTTAGTTTGCAGCAAGGTTGGCTTTGAATCTATCCCGCACTAGCCTGCCACAGACTGACCATCCATGTGGACCCAGCTGATGCACATTAACAGTTCTAGTCCTGCGTCAGCAGAGCCCCCATGGCAGCTTGCCTGCAGCAGGCTAGTGTGGGGTAGATTCACACCCCAGCTTGCAGTAAACTAACTGTTAATTTAGACAAACTCTACTATAAGACAAGAGACAACAGCTGGATACAGACAGACTGCATAGGGAGTACAAGGAAACAAGGAGACAATATTGGTCAGCCTGATAGGCAGTGTTCCCAGCACACCAGCAATCTAACTCTGTCAAGTGTCTTGTATCCAGTTAGGCTGTAATCCAGCAAAGCACTGAAGCGTGTATGTAACTTTAAGCACTAGCACAGTCCCACTGAAGTCAATGGATTGTGGCTGCTCAATATTAGGCTGGGTGTCCAAATGCAGATACAGTAACTTCTCATTTAAAGTTGTCCCGGTTAACGTTGTTTCGTTGATGATCAATTAGGGAACATGCTTGTTTAAAGTTGCGCAGTGCTCCCTTATAACGTTATTTGGCAGCCGCCTGCTTTGTCCACTGCTTGCAGGAAGAGCAGCCCGTTGGAGCCAGCTGGTGGGGGCTTGGAACCAGGGTGGACCGTAGTGTGACCAGATGTCCCGATAAAATGGGGACTGTCCTGATATTTAACCATTTGTCCCGCGTCCCGATCAATGTACGATCAGGACGCCATTTGTCCCGATAGTCGGGTAAGGAGGCAAGCGGGATGGAGGCGCTGACCCCGTGGGTGCTCCGGGGCTGGAGCACCCACGGGGAAGAATTGCAGCCAAGCTCCCCCCTCCTCACCTCCTTCCTCCCCCCTCCTCCCAGCGCGCTGTATCCCTGCTCCTCCCCCACTCCAGCACTTCCCGCCGCCTAACAGCTCTTTGGTGACGCTTAATGCTTTCCAGGAGGGAGGGGGGAGGAGCAGGGACGTGGCGCGCTCAGGGGAGGAGGTGGAGAAGAGGCAGGGCAGGGGCAGGGACTTGGGGAAAGGGGGTGGAATGGGGGCAGGGTGAGGGTGGTGCAGAGGCGGGAAGAGGCGGGGGGTGGGCGAGCACCCACCCAGCAGAGGGGAAGTCTGTGCCGTAGGGGTGAGTGGCGGGCGGGGGGGGTGAAGAGGCTAGCGGCGAGCAGCAGGTGGGCGTGGAGGTGGGAGGGGGACTGAGGAGGGACGCAGCAAGCCAGCGGCAGGCTAGGAGATGAGGAAGGGCACGTGGGGGGGCAAGCGGGGAGGGGGCGGGACCTGGGGCAGAGTGGGGCTGGAGCCTAGGAGGAGTGGGGGTGGACTGTGGGCAGGGCTGATGGCACCCTAGTGTGTCCTGATATTTTAGTGTGGTGATCTGGTCACCCTAGTGGACCGGCAGCCCCCCTAAGTTCCCGCCCAGCAGGCTACCAATTGCCGGCAGTTCAGCTGTCCCTCCCCCCACTGCCATGTGCTGCTCCTGCCCTCTGCCTTGGAGCTGCTCCCGGGAGCCTCCTGCTTGCTGTGCAGGCGGAGGGGACGAGGAGGGCTAATGTCAGGGTGTCCCCCTCCCCCTTGCTCATGCCCCCCACTTACCCCTTCTCCATATAGAGCAGGGTGGGGACAGACGGAGAGAGCTTGCTGGCCGCAGCTGCTGTCTCAACTTCCTGATCGACTTAAAAAGACAATGTACTTAGAGTGGGGTCAGTGTGGGGCAATGTGCCTCTCTCTCTCTCCCAAACACAGGGTGTGTGTCTCTGTCTCTGCCATGCTGTCTCCCCTCCCTCCATTCCTGCTGCCTTGTAGCATGTGAGGCTACATTAACAACAGTGTGTTAACCCTTGAGGGCTCAGCCAAATGCTAGTTCATCATTTTAAGGCATTCCCTGGGAAATATCCCACCCTCTTCCACTCTCTGACTCCACCACCTCAACCAAGCTTCACAATCATCATCGCTGTCTACCAGTATTAAATTGTTTGTTTAAAAGTTATACTCTGTGTATGTGTGTATATATATAATAGCTTTTTGACCGGTGAAAAAAAATTCCCTGGAACCTAACCCCCCCATTTACATTAATTCTTATGGGGAAATTGGATTCACTTAACATCGTTTCGCTTAAAGTCGCATTTTTCAGGAACATAACTATAACGTTAAGCGAGGCGTTATTGTATGGATATCCTGCCTGGGTGCCTGTCTTTGAAAGCCTGCCTCCTCATGTGGCTCTGTAGACCTGTCAATATTAATGGTAAAAATTGTTGGCTGCTGTTGTGATTTGTCCCAGGTGCACGAGAACATCATTCATGAGGCAGTTATTGATTCTCTTGTGTGTTATGGAAAGTTTTAAAATGTAACAAGTACTCAATTCACACAATTATGCTTCTAGAATGGCATCCAGAAATCTTCTAGGTTATGAAATTGAACAGATCTGTGGTTTGATGTGGTATCTCCATACACAGAGGGAGATCAATCATGTTCACCCAGGTCCCATTATGGCAATGTGGGGCTCAAGGTCTACCACAGCACAGGCTCCCCACCTCTTGACCCTGCCCTGCCCTGGCACTATGACTCCATCTGCTACTTGGAGTGATGCTGGCAGGAGACCCCCCTTCCCACCAAGAAGGCAGGGTTAGCAGCAAGGGGGTCCCCCAGTACTTACCTCTACTGCTGGATGTTTGTATAGGTGGGGGGACAGGTTTGCTGCACTTTTCTTCCCTTGTGAGTGCTCTGCTGGGATAGTGTTGGTCAAGGCCCCGCATAGCAATGGGTCTTGGAGTTAACTCCCCATAGGGGTGACTGGGATAGTTCACCCTTCTCAGAGCTGTTGTTTCATGCTGTCTGCAGATTCAGGCAGACATCACTGTATCAGTTACACTGAAATCAAATTTTCAAGCTTTCCTTTGCAACTATGAGGGCTAGAATGTTTCTGATGAAAGCTGAAATTCTGATATGAATGCCTCCCCCAGGTGCTGGGGCACTAAGCACAGGCCTGGAGTTCCTATTCCTTAACATGGACCTGATTGTTCTCAGTACCATAGAATTTTGCCAGCAAATACTGTTGCATCATGGGCAAAAAGTTCCTTTGGGGCCACACCTAGTTTGTAGATTCTCAGTGAGAGAGGATTTGGGGCTTACACTTGTGCTTGAGAAGATAACAACAATATAATTTAATACTTTCTGATGGTTTTACTGAAAAAAGAACCTTGCATGTGTGTGAGTGAGAATTCATGGATAGCAGCAGCTCAGTGAAAGAACCAGGGCTCGTCCTTTGAGACTCAGTAGTTTGTTCTTTTCTCTCTGTCCAGTACATTCAAGTCTGGAAACAAAAATACCAGGGCTGTTTCACACTAAAAAACATATCAAAAGAACCTTCAGGAAGTGACACCACCAAAAGCAGCCAGGAAACTTGTAGGGAAAGGTGAAATATGTCATGTTTTCTAGTACCCAGGGGCAAAAAGGGAGTTCATCTTATATAGCAGTAGCACTTACTCACATGAGAGCCACCAGATCCATTTCAATTAGTTGAAGTGATTATTTTACTGGGCATCCCCAGCACGCTGCCATTTCTTTTAGTAACACCTGACTGTGTAACCTGCTCCTTCACATGTTACATGTCCTCCCACTAGAGCCTGACCAGCAGGGGTTTGAGTCTGCTACTGATTCTTGCTTGAGGATTTAGTCATTGATCACAAGTGGTAGACGCCTGTGCTTTTAGGCCCTGATTTAGGAGTGCATCTCTGTTCAAGAAGACATCTAAGCACATGCTTAACTAAACATGTGCTTGAGTCTCACTGGGGACTTAAAGTTAAGCACATGCTTAAGTGCTTTCTTGAGCAAGGATGCTTTCCTGAACCAGTGCCTTATCCCTGGATTCAAACCTCTCTGTCAGCCCAAACAGAATCAATTACTTAAGCATCCTGGTAACTGGAAAGTAGCTTAGAGTTCTGCAGATGTGAGGAGAGTGGAAGAGGCCTCAAGACTCTCTCTTTAATGAGCTGGTGGATTTTAAGCCTGTCAGTTGTTGTTAGTGCACTGGAGTCTCTGTGGAGAGTGATAACTTCTGTCTCTTTCTCAGTCTATAACCATTTCTTAGTGGCCGGTAAATGGAGCATCATTAGTGTAGGTCTCTGGGGTGACTTCTGTTCACCAAACTGGAGGGTAGCACAGCAATAGTTTCCGTCTACAAGAGGAAGACTAATTAAGTGGTGCCCTAGAGTGAATGATGAAAAAGCAAACCCTAAGGGTATGTCTACACAGCAATAAAAGGGCCACAGCTGGCATGGGTCAGCTGACTCAGGCTTGCAGGGCTCGGGCTGTGGAGCTATAAAATTCAGCTGAAGTGTTGACATTTGTGCTTGGGCTGGAGCCCGGGCCCTGTAACCTGGCAAGTGGGGGAGGCTCCAGCCTGAGCCTGAACATCTGCACTGCAATTTTTAGTCCTGTGAGCCCAAGTCAGCTGGCCCGGGCTCTGAGACTGTTCCAGGTTTTTTTTTATCGCAGCATAGACCTGCCATAAGTGTCTTTCTGGAAGGAACCTTTAGGCAGAACTCTGCACCTCTAGGGAAAGTATTAGCCCTAGCTGATTTCTAATGCTTCTCCTTTTATTATTTGGAACAGGGTATCATTGGTGATCCCACCATGCCAAAAGTCTCGCTATGCCACCTATTTTGATGTGGCAGTACTGCGCTGCCTGCTGCAGGCACACTGGTCGGAGGAGGGTACACAGTGGTCTCTGATGTATTATCTACAAAGACTGAGACATATGCTGGAGGAGAAGCCAGAGAAGCCACCTGAGCCGGAGACCATGCACCTGCCCAGGCCCCGTAGCAGTTCCATGGTAGCAGCAGCACCCTCTCTGGTGAACACCCACAAAACTCAGGTAAGCGACCATCATTTAAAAGTAATCTTGGTAACTCTTTACAGTCATGGCAGGATTAGTAGTGATTCAGCACTTTGGTTTTAATTATATCATGAATTGTGGGGAAGTCACTTGTAGCGTCGGAAATGTCCATATGTGAATTGCATAGATAGTCTTATTGCACTGGAATTCAGCATTCAGGTCTGATTTAACTATATACCATATTGTTATCCCAAGAGAAACCAAAAGAATACGCATCACAGTCTCAATACAGTACTCTCCTTGAAACAAAAAACAAGACTCAAGACACAAGACCACCTTCTTTAAAACGTTGCAGCAAACACCACACGGTGCGGTTGGAGCACAGCAAAGTACAGACTTTTCAGAGTGTCCATCAAACATAATAGTAGATTGGGACCCGTTATTGTTTCTGTAATGCTGTGCTTTCATATTTACACTGCCCCCCCCGCCCCCCACAGCTGCTTAAAGTAACCACTTGCTGTTGTGCTTGTAATTTCCCGAATGCTAGTGCAATAATAAAGTTGTTGTTCAAAGGTTCTCAGCACAGCAGCAGTGTGGATGGATGTGTTATTTGCATCAGCTAGACATCACACTGGAGGTCTGGAATCAGTGTTTCTGTACATGACAGGAGATCCCCTGGCAATGTAGCAAGATCTGCCTCTCCCAGCTTCACATTCTCAGGTCCTACCTGGTTTTTAAGTACTTTTTCTCCTACAGGAGAGCCCTTTACTCTGTTGTTCTTTATTACCATCTTTGTTAAATCCATATGGTTATTCACAGTTAAATGTAAATGTATTTTACTTTGCTGGTTGGTTGTTTTTTGGGGGGTGGGGACATAGGGGGGTCTTTTGGTCATTGATGTGAGGGTTCCATCCAGGTTTTTTCAAGGTTAGACTAGATTGCCAAAGGTGACTTTCTCATCAGAGTTTCATACATTTTGTCATGCTACATGGAATCGGAGTCCCTCTTAAAATGAAGGTATTTAATAAACAAAGCAGCTACAACTTCCACACAGCTGGAGTTTCAGCTTTGTCTCCCTTATTCACCAGGGACCACTCCCTATCTGGAGCTCTATACAGCAGTGGTTTTCAACCTTTTTTCATTTGCAGACCCCTAAAACATTTCAAATGGAGGTGCAGACCCTTTGGAAATCTTAAGGTATGTCTACACTACAGGATTAATCTGAATTTAGATAATTCGAATTTGGGAAACAGGCTGTATAAATTCGATTGTGCGCGGCCACACTAAGCACATTAATTCGGTTTTTAACCACATTAATTCGGTGGTGTGCGGCCACACTACCCCATTACTTTAACCACAGTAATTCGGTGGTGTGCGGCCACACTAACCCTAATTCGAATTAACAAAATCGATTTAGGCGCTACTCCGCTCGTCGAGGTGGAGTACAGAAATCGATTTTAAGTGCCCTTTAATTCGAATTAACTGGCTCTGTAGTGTGGACGGGTGAAGGGTTAATTCGGATTAACGCAGCTAAATCCGAATTAAAGTCGTAGTGTAGACCAGGCCTTTGACATAGTCTGCGGACCCCCAGAGGTCCGTGGACTGGAGGTTGAAAACCACTGCACATAGCGACATCTAGTGGATGGTTAATATTCCCCAAGTAAACATATTATGCATGAGTATGTCAGTAATTGAGGCAGTTGTGATGGGTTTAGGCTTCTGAGGCACAGAGATGGAAGAAGTCATGTTCTTCTCTGTTTTTCTGCCTACTTGGCATTTCTTTCTCTCTTAGGAAGGGTCTGTGGGCTAAGAAATCATTAACTAGTGAGTGAGTAATGGTGCTAAGCTGAAAAAGCAGGCTAGCAGTATATTTCTTACGTTTATAGCGGGAACCCCATCAAGTTGCATTCTTCCTCTGCTTTTACTTAACTCAAGTTATTCTTTTCCAATAGAAAATCAAGATTTCAGAATAAAGTATTCAGACAGTGCAAATTCAAAATGTCAGCCCTAAATTGGTTCTGAGTTCATGGCCTCCTCTCATTAGGGCTTCATGCTGCAATATAGGGGGGACCTACACTTTTAAAGTAACAGCACTGGGTTTTATGGCACGTTGGTCTTCTTTTCTATCATCTGGTCCTTTTGTCGTCATTAACTGATGTTAGACATGGCAAAAGAAAGAACTGCACAGAAATCAGCTCAGGAACAGGCAAGTAAGTAGGGTTAGTGATGGAGTGCAGAGTGTATAGAAAAGATGCGGGGTTGCCATGTAACCTCTTCCACCTTCCTAAGCCTTAGCATGTCTGTCACACAGACCATTTATATGTGAAATACCATTTAAAATATAATTCTGGTGCCTATCACAGCAAACTAGTTCTGATCAAATGGTTATACTGTTATGTATCTAGAGAGAGAGAGAATCTCAGTTCAGGCTTTAGCGGACTGAAGGATCTATTTAATATTTCATGTAGCAAGCAGTCAATGACATACCCTGTTCCCTGTTGCAAAGCAGAACGGCAAGTGAATGAAGGCGTATGAATAAAACAAATACCTTCTCCCTGCCTCTAGCAGGTGGTCTAATCAGTGTAAGGAAAAATCTGCAGTGCACCTGTATGCAGTGAGTCCAGCATAGGGATGGAATTAGGAAATGAAAACCTTGAGGACTTTCAAAACTGTACAGCTTTGCAATAACACTGCAGGAGCTAAGAGCAAAAACATAAATTAAACCTAAAACCAGCAAAACTGCAATGACTAGATGTAATGGTAATTTAAACCCAAGAGTTTCAAGTGTAATACTCAGAAGCTGATAGAAATACTAATGAATTGGTAGCTAAACAGCCAGGCCGATGCAGGGCAATAGGAAAAAAGATATATAGTAACAGCCTCTAAACAATTTGTGGGTTTTCTTATTAGCCACATCTTGATCGAATGATCTGCTATGATGGTAACCACATTTTTAACTAGTCTTCAACCAGAACATTAGACTAATTTCTCAAAATAGGCCATATCCCATACTATATAGTAAAGCTGACTGTGTAACTCAATTCACATACAGTGGTTTGTTTGAATAGGTGATTGTGAGCTCTTCAGCGCAGGGGCCATGACTTTCTGTGTGTTTGTACAGTGCCTAGCACAGTAGGGACCTGATTTTTGATGGGTCCTTTTCACTACTCCAATACAAATAATACAGGCACCAACTTTCCAATGTGCCGGGGGGTGTTCACTGCTCAACCCCTGGCTCTGCCACAGGCCCTGCCCCCACTCCACTGCTTCCCGCCCCCTCCCCTGAGCCTGCCATGCTCTCACTCCTCCCCCTGCCCCCCAGAGCCTCCTGCACGCCACAAAACAGCTGATTGGGAGGTGCGAGGAGGGATTGGGAGGCGCTGATTGGCGGAACTGCCGGTGGGCAGGAGGCGCTGGGAGCGGGGCGGAGCTGATGGGGGGCTGCTGACGTATTACTGTGGCTCTTTGGCAATGTACATTGGTAAATTCTGGCTCCTTCTCAGGCTCAGGTTGGCCACCTCTGATTTAGTTGCTTACTTGCTATTTCTACTTGTGCATGTTTTTCTTCTTTTGGGGAGTGAAGGATCTCACAATGAAGTGCAATGAGGAGGAAAAATCACTAAGCACTGAGGCCTTTGCTAAGGTGTCACTCACCAACCTGCGCAGGCTAGCCGTGCCAGATCTCTCCACAGACCTGGGAATGAACATCTTTAAGAAGGTGAGTAGCACAGTAATGTGTTTTTGGTTTATCTACAATCCAGTGTCAAAACACGTACCATGTATACAACTGTTAAGAGCTTACATTGACTCTATATTTAGGTTGAACCTGAGGCGCACATTTGTTTTTTTCTGATGGACATGTTATGTGTCCATGTATGGTATATACATGTATGTATTAATATTTACTCTATGGGCCCAATGCTGAAATCTGTACTCATATCAAGCTTTATTGAAATCAATGGGAGTTTTCCCTAAGTGGTGGTGGTTTGCAGCCAGATCCTCAAATTACATTAATCAGAGGAGCTTCATCAGTTTCAATAGATCTATGCTGGTTTTACACCTGAGATCTGAGTCTAAATCTGCAAAGCACTCTCCCAGGAAGGCCCTTGCCTTGGTGTTGAAGGTTATACAAACAAATTAAGATTCATAATATAAAAAATGAAACAGATTAATCAAACAAGGGGATCCAATGCAAAAAAAAGGGAGAGAAATGGGAAAAGAAAAGAAATCTAGGTCCAACAACAGTAATAATGGAAAATCTTTGAAATAAAAAAAATGTCTTAATTATAAAACTGGAGAGATGGATTGAGACAGATGTCAAGGGAAATAAGTCACCACGTTAGCATTTCCCATAGCAAAATGTGGTTGCCCTCCCACAGGGCCAGCTCTAGCTTTTTTGCCACCCCAAGCAAAAAAAAATTAACGCGGCCAGACTGCCGCGCCCGAACTGCCGAAGCAGAAAAAAAAAAAAAGCCGCCCGGACTGTGCCGCCCCAAGAATGGACGGAATGGAATGCCTCCCCTTAGCATGTGCCGCCCCCGGCACGTGCTTCCTCCGCTGGTGCCTGGAGCCAGCCCTGCCCTCCCAACATGAGGTGCACTAGTGCAGTCCTTAAATGTGGGTGGTGCTGAAGTGTAGATACCCATCATGGACAAAGGGCTAGAGTGGGGGAATTTAGGATTGGGCTCTGCATGCTTGTCCTTCCCCTCTAACTGTAGCGAAATCCCTGTAGCCTTTGCCTGGCTCTAACCCCCCTCCTCTTCCTTCTGCAGTTTAAGAGTCGCAAAGAGGATCGAGAGCGTGAGCGCAAGGGTTCTATTCCTTTCCACCACACTGGAAAAAAACGGCAGCGAAGGATGGGGGTGCCCTTCCTGCTCCACGAGGATCATTTGGATGTGTCACCCACTCGCAGCACATTCTCCTTTGGCAGCTTTTCTGGGATTGGAGAGGACCGGCGCAGCATTGAGAGAGGAGGATGGCAAACTGCCATACTAGGTGACTGATGGGAAAGGATTAATATTGCAACCCGGTATTCTGATTAATGGTTCTACTCCAGAATGTTCCAAGAATAGCAGAGTGGAAACGGAGGCTTTTTATTTCTCCATCACTCTGGCACTGGAAAACAGCCCCTCCCTCTTGATGGCTGGTTATGGCCTTTGCCCCGACTTGCGGTTTGCCACACCTGTTGTAGAAATGGCACAGTCTTTCTGCCAGCTTCTAAGGTGAAGCTCATTGTTGTACTGACTGCTGACCTTGAATGACTATGTTTAGGTGTACACTAAGGCTATGTCTACACTATGGACCTTACAGCGGCACAGCTGTACCACCACAGCTGTGCCTCTGTAAGGTCTCCCGTGTAGCCGCTCTTTGCCGGCAGGAGAGAGCTCTCCCATGATCAGCATAATTAAACCACCCCAACGAGCAGCATTAGCTTTGTCAGCAGGAGAGCTTTGTCAGTCGGGAGGGGCGGGGGGGAGGCAGGGTTCACATCCTTGAGCGATTAAAGTGGTAGTGTAGACAAAGCCTAAATAAGGATTTTCCACTTTGGCTCAAGTGAGATCTGGACTTCTGCTAATCTCAATGATCCCCATCCCCCATTCTCACACCTCAACTTCTAGCCCTCACGTGTTCCTTAGACTTGCAAACTAAATGTCTGTTTCGTGTGTTCATCCTAGGGAAGTTCACCAGGCGGGGGAGCTCTGACACTGCTACGGAGATGGAGAGCCTGAGTGCTAGACATTCTCACTCTCATCACACCCTGGTCACTGACTTGCCTGACCACTCAAACAGCCACGGAGAGAATACAGTCAAAGAAGGTGTGTCAAATATAACGATGAGCAAATACCGCACTGGAGTGTGGACGTCAGGAGGCTGAGATAGTTTTATTTTTTTAATTTGTTAATATCTGATTAATCTCCTCTTTCCCTTTCTGGTTTTTCTATATATCTCATTGTTTCTTCTTTTTTGTCCTATTTAGGATTATTATTATAATCTCTTACAAAGGACATGCACCTACCTCTAGGGTGGGACACAGCACCTTTTTAACACTGTACAGGAACACTGCACAGAAGTTTAGGGAAGGAAGTCAATCTTGCTAACTCTTGTGATTTCATTGTGTGTCTCACAATATTTGGTGGTTTTCTGAAAGACCCAGCTGCTGGAATCAAAAGATTGCATGAGAATCTCAGCTTTCACCTTATTTTAAAAAAGTTCATTTCTAACCCACATGATTTCAGGGAAAAGCTTGAAAAAAAATGAAGCAAGTGAAACCCTAAAGGCCCAAGAAATAGAAGGCAAGGAAAAAGAACCCAGAATTTGGCTTAAAAATCATGAGGGTTAACAATAATCTCATGATTGTTTTTGGACCCGACTGATGATTTTTGAGCACTTGGGGTTGGCAGTTCTGGGAAGTTGATAAAAGTGCTGTATCCATTTAAAATGGCCAGAGCCATAAAAGTAGGAAGATTGTAATTGCTCCTATCAGCATATGGCCACCCCATCAGAGCTAAGACCCCCTCCTCTTACAATAACAGAACTGGCTACCAATAGAACAAGTGCATTGCCACAATTTCCCTATAGTAGGGCTGCTAAAATTATACAAGATACCTCAGTCTTAACAGGCTGGCGCTCTTACTAATGAGAAGTTTTCCTGTCTTAGGGTGTGGAGGGCGGGAGTCAAGCATAGACAGCTACTGCCTCCCTTTTAGCCAGGTGCAGAAAACATTTAAGCCTTCCATCGGTCACTGGTACAGTAGAACCCCAGAGTTACGAACCCCAGAGTTATGACCTGACCAGTCACCCAGACACCTAATTTGGAACTGGAAATACGCAATTGGGCAGCAGCAGAGACAAAAACAAAAAAAGCAAATACAGTACAGTACTGTGTTAAACGTCAACAACTAAAAAAAATAAAGGGAGAGCAGCATTTTCTTCTGCATAGTAAAGTTTCAAAGCTGTATTAAGTCAATGTTCAGCTGTAAACCTTTGAAAGAACAACTATAATGTTTTGTTCTGAGTTATGAACAGCCTCCATTCCTGAGGTGCTCGTAACTCTGAGGTTCTGCTGTACTCAGATGGCCCCCATCACTGCCGTATCTGAGCACCTCTCCGTTTTTATCCACAGAACACCTCTGTGAGGCAGGAAGTGCTGTTATCTTTATTGGTGGAGAGTTGAGCAAAGAGAGGCTATGTGACTTGTCCAAGGTCACACAGGAAGTCAGTAGCAGCACAGAAAATTGAACCCAGGTTGCCCAAGTTCTAGGCTAATGCCCTAACCACTGGGTCATCCTTCCTCTTCCATTGTCATTTGAACATGTTCTTCCTATAAAACATAAAATATAAAATCCATTAATCCTGGAAAGGAAAGGGGCTCTAGATAATTAACTCAGTGGCAATCCACTCTCACTAATATTGGTGGTGCATTGTCCACCTCTGTGTAGGAATTTGTCCAGTTACTGAAGCTCTGTGTTTTATTTGTTCTGACTTGACTAGCTAATATTTTTATTTGTGTGCAGCCACAGTCCAAGGTACTAGTGAGCTTTGAAGATTTTAGCAAGGAAAGAAATATAGCTGGCCAAAAAGTTTCAAAATTTGAAATTGCAATGCAATTTTTCATTCAAAATGTTGATGTGCAAAAGAAAAAAAGAGGAGGATATAGTTTTTGTGAAATGTCCTCCAAATATTGACCCACTCTTCACCCAGCCCTACACTAAAAGCATGTTTTACAGGAATAAAAGGAAACAATGCAGTTTTTAGCCATAGAACTGAGTGCTTGAGTCATTCTGCCCCAGACAGGGCTCAGGGAGGGTTTGCGACACAACACTTCTCGCTAGATAACGTCCTGACCACTGCTGCAACGTGGGATTCCGCACATAGCCCCTAAGGGAAGAACCTGAGTAGCAAAAAGCAGCTGTGCACCTTCAATCTAGGCGCCTGATATAATTTCTGCCACTGCTTCCACCTGTTTTGCCCACAGTCGTCATTCTCTGGGTTGCCCTGCAGCCAGTCTCATTCAGATGCTGAATACATTGCTCAACTGGGTCCATAAAGATGGAGGTGCAGAGCAGGTTGTCACCAACATCCTGAAGGCACCATATGCTGAGCCTCCTAATGGTTTGATATCCCACTGAACCGGAGGGGGCCCTGCAGTACCCACTGAGCCTTCGGGGCAGACCCAATGCAGATCTCAGACTCGGTGGAATTCTTTTCTTCATTTAGTTCATTTGAGCCCCCAGATTCCAACTGGAAGCCTGGCACAAAATGGTTTGGAATTAGTTTGAAACATGGCAGGCTAGCTAGTAGCTTGGAGCCACAGCCCTTCTTGGCGAGCAGATTGAAGTGCGTCCAGGACCAGGCTGCGAGCGCAGCTGCTGCTGCACCCTTTGGAAAGATGGAGCATGCAGTTACTGGATCCAGCTCTGCTGGCTACTGCGGGGGTGGGTTGAGAGGACAGAGCCCCGCTCCCCCTGTCTCCTTTGAGAGGCTCTTATGCTTCTTAGTGCTTGTGGTGTGCGCCTGCCTGCTGCCCCCTGCACAGGAGCACCGTCTTTTACCTTACACCCCCATGCTGAGCAGGGCACTATCTATTGGTGAATGAGCTACCAGGCCACACAGCTAGTAGAGGAAGCTGTATTTGGGTGGCGTGAAGTGAGCATTTGGGATTCATTTTCCGAAGTCACTCTCTGAACAATTCTGAATAGCCTCAGAAAGGCTGGATTTGTGTCAGTTCAAATCCAGCGTAGGCACGTCTCCCTCATCTCTGGTGCTTACACGTCTCGGGCAAAGCTCTCCTCTCCAGGCTGCTCTGCAGATTCCTCATGTCTGAGTTGCATTTGTTCCAGGAGCATTTTGCCATGCACTAGGTCAGCTCCGTATCTGAAAGGCTTACTAAAAGTTGGAGAGCTGTGATGCTCACGTTTCTAATTGATCCCTAAGATACTTATGTGCTAACATATTTAGAAATAAAAAAACAAATTACACTATTGCCTGTGGCGCTAATTACAGTAATAAGCACAGCCGGAATGGGTAATTTTGTCACTAAAATGGGAAAGGCCAAGATACCTGTTTTCTGTCTTACAGTGCGATCCCAGATTTCTACCATCACTGTGGCCACCTTCAACACCACCCTGGCCTCATTCAACGTGGGCTACGCGGACTTCTTCAGCGAGCACATGCGGAAGCTGTGCAACCAGGTGCCCATTCCAGAGATGCCCCATGAGCCGCTGGCCTGCGCCAATCTCCCACGGAGTTTGACTGACTCCTGCATCAATTACAGCTGCCTGGAGGACACGGATCACATTGACGGCACCAACAACTTTGTCCACAAGAACGGCATGTTGGATCTTTCGGTAATTGGCAAAGGAACAAGAAAAGCCTCAGCCCTCTTCTGTCAATGCAGCTGTGCCATTGAGCTAACCTGAGAGATCTTTTTTCCATAGTCTCTTTATATACCTATCCATTCCAGCACTGCAGGAAGGTCATTCAAGACCAGTAGGGTACATTTGAAAAATATTAAAGGATGTAGTCTTTCAGGTAATGCAACTTCTCTTCTTCTTAACGAGAGTAATACATGTGCACCAAGGGAGAATACACCCATAACGTTCTGACTGAAACCGAGGAAAGCAAATTATAACAGAGAATGTTTCCTTCTCTTTCTTCTCATTTATGATCCTTCCTCTGGCATGCTAAAAGACTTGTCAATTGTTCGGAAGCAGAGAATTCCTCAAGTAACCATCTCTCCTCTCACTGCATCTGCCTTACAGATCCTTGCAGTTGGCTCTAATGAAAAGAGAGATCATTTCAGTGTACTTGCTGAGATGAATCCTTCACATTTAACAGGATTTAGTAAGAATTAAAATTAACAGAAGTAGTCAAGCACATAGGCATCTGCCTGGCAGATCCTAACATACTCAGTGATACAAACACATAGTAAGAGATGCTCCCTGTCAGTTGGGTGGGGAAGTGCCTTGCCCAGGTTTATACACTAAGTCAGTGGCAGAAGAGGATTAGAACCCAAATCTCCTGACCTGCATTCCTGTGCCCTACCCAGTAGACCATGAGTCATTTCCTAGTGCTATCACAGAGGTTTCTGACACTGGACTAGCAGATAAGATCTTCATGAGGGAAGTAGACTTCCTTGAAGGGAGAGAGATTCATCCATGTCAAAATTTCAGTAAAGCCCACCACCATCCTGGCTCTGGCAGATTTACCTTCTTCCTTCTGTAGAGTGAGTGAGTGAATCCAAACTCTCACATTAGCCAAGGGAGAAGACGACATTCAAAATCAAACCCTTGCATTTAAAATATTCACTGCTTCTTGGAATGTTGTCCTCCCTTGGCCTCCATGACTGACTTCTCCTGGTTTTCATTCCCGCCTCTCTAATCGCTCCTTCAGCATGTCCTTGAGGATCCTCCCCATCCTCCCCGCCAGCTTTCTGGGGAGGTTCCACAGGGCTCTGTCCTTGGTCCCCTTCTCTTCTACCTCCATACCTTGCCTCTGGGCAATCTCATTCGCAAACACAAATTCAACTGCCTTCTCTACGCTGATGACTCACAGATCTACCTTTCCACTCCAGACCTTCTCTCCTTCTGCCCAAACTAAAATTTCAGCCTGTCTCACAGACGTGGCCTTGTGGATGTCTAGCTGCTAGCTCAAGCTCAACATGGCTAAAACTGAGCTCTTAATCTTTCCACCCCCACAAGAACTTCCCCCTCTGCCTTCTCAACTGCTGTGAACAACCCCAACCTCCTGCCTGTTGCTCATGCCCATAACCTGGGTGTCATCTTCGACTCAGATCTCTCTGAGGGTCTTCACGTCTAGGCCATATCTAAACCTTATGGATTCTTTCTGAATGACATCTCTGTGATACGGCCTTTACTTTCCATCCACACAGCTGAAATTCTTGTCCAGGCTGTCATAGTCCGGCATCTTAGTGACTGCAATGTCCATCTCTCAGCCCTTGGTAAATGCAATCTTGCCCTGCTCATATCCATTCAGAATCCTGCTGCAAATATCATTTTCCTAGCCCATTGCTTTGACTATGTCACCCCTCTCTTTGCATCCCTCCACTGGCTCCTCCTCCTCTATCACACTGAACATAAAGCTGCTTGTCTTCACTTTCAAGGCCCTTCATAGCCTATTCCTACCCTCTCTATCCTCTCTCATTCACCATCGAGGTGTTTGTTGACTTCCGCCTCCAGTTGGCCTGTAACACCATCCTCCATCGACCACTTGTTAAATTCGTGCTTTTTCCCATGCTGCCCATTACATCTGGGAGGAACTCCTCATAAACATCTGCAAAACAAATGCATTATCCTCCTTCACATCCCTCCTCAAAACTCTCTTTTGCTGGGATGCCTACCAAAACTTGATGATGGTTAGACCATTGGTATGCTAAGACCACTGCCTACCATATGACCAATATTGTTTCATTGTTTCCTTGCGCTCCCCAGCTGTGTGTCAGTATCCACCTCTTGCCTCTTGACTTACATTTAGATTGTAAGCTGTCCATGACTAAGGCTCCTATGCGTCATGGTAATACAAATACGAAATGATGATGATGATGATAATACAGAAAACAAGTCTGACCAAAACACGTTGTTGTCCTCTTTCTCTAGGTGGTTCTGAAGGCCGTTTACTTGGTCCTGAACCACGACATCAGCTCCCGGATCTGTGATGTGGCGTTGAACATCGTTGAGTGCCTGCTGCAGCTTGGCGTGGTGCCGTGCGTGGAGAAAGTCAGAAGGAAGAGTGAGAACAAGGAAAATGAGTCAACGGAAAAGAGACCGAGTGAGGGATCCTTCCAGCTCAAGGGGGCTGCTTCGGGCAGCCCAGCCTGTGGATTCGGGGCTGCCCCAGTCAGTGGAACTGGAGATGGGGGAGGCGAAGAAGGTGGAGGGGGAGGAAGTGGTGGAGGAGGAGGTGGCGGAGCTGATGGAGGTGGCGGAGGAGGAGGTGGAGGACCTTATGAAAAGAATGATAAAAATCAAGAAAAGGTATGTTTGGGTACCATGTAATATAGAGAACACATGCATGTGACATAAGGTATGTCAAGTCTGTGTGTGTGTGTGTGTGTGTGTGTGTGTATTTGTATGTATATGTGGGTGAGTAATTATCATTTCCTTTTCCCTCTCTGTTTTTTGGGAAACTGCTAGGTTTTCTTTCCTTTAGGCACCACTCAGACATCTTCATTTGTGTCAGTGCAGTACCCACATCAAACCCAGAGCATTCATCACCATGGAGAATTCAGCGCCCTTTGCTGTGCCTACCCAAGCAAAGCAACTCTGCTAACCAGCCCTAATTGGCCTAGCATGGCTGCATTTTTGATGTAAAACACGTATTCCTGATGCCCTGAATCGGTGCTATTTTACATACTGCACTACTGCTGTTTTAAAACAGGAAAAATTATTGCTGAATTTTTCTATTTTTTATTATTTATCTTACAGTAGCACATAGAGGCTCCCACATTCAAGGCACTGTGTAAACAAGCCTCAAGAGACAGACAGTGCCCTGAGGAGATTACAATCTAATGAGACAAGACAGACAGAGTCACACAGCAGATCCATGGCAGAGCTAGGAATAAAACCCAGATCTCATGACTCCACGTCCTGGGTCTCATCCGCTAGATGACAACACAGACTTCATTTTATTACTTGACTCGATGGCAAAGGGTTCTGATCCCTGAGTTCCTTAGGACTTGGTCCTGCCCCACTTACTCGTGTCTGTAGTACTTTATGAGTAGACCCATGGATTTCAATGGGACTACTTTCAGTAAAGTAGTGCTCACTATCAGTCCAGGTAGCACAATCTGACCCTTACTGCCTGGCAGATAGCTGAATTCTAGGAGTACCCCATTGACATTAGTGCTCATTGTAGTCAGAATTGCACCTGGTAGCAAGTTTTTGAAGGATTAGGCCCTGAGCTTGAATAGATAAGTCAGTAGGATTTTCAAGAGTTATGTAGCTATTCAGACTAATATTGGACTGTTTTCAAGCAAGAATGTGCAGCGGTATGTTCTGAGCAAATGTTAAAGGTATGCCAGTTACCTGACCTCAGTGTCACGTGGTGTCATTTCCCCTCTGTGGCTCTTAGGATGAAAGCACTCCCATAAGCACCCACAGGCTGGCATTGACGATGCTGATCAAAATAGTGAAATCCCTGGGCTGTGCTTATGGCTGCGGAGAAGGACACCGAGGGCTCTCTGGAGATCGTCTGAGACACCAGGTATTCCAGGAGAATGTAAGAGAACTAAAGCAGATTCCAGTTCTCCCCAACCCCTTCTTTCTGAAATGAGTCTGCTGATGTTGAGAAGCCCCCACTCTCCCCCTCCACACAGCTTCCTTTATATTCATCATTAAATGCTGGCCCCCAATCTCAGCTGCACCTACTGAGCTCTGCAGCTGAGCCAAGGGGAGACAGTGGCCGCTTAAGCCATCTTTGTCCCTTTCAAATTCCTGGCCCTGCTAGGGGCATGTCTCGGGCCCAACAGGGCAATTTAGAGCAGCCCCAGGGGCTTCTCTGCCATGCAGATTTGCAAAGCCCTAGCGTGGACATACTGCACTAGCAAGAGTCACTTTTGTACACTGGTGCAACATGGCTACACTGGGGAGGTTTACAGTGGTGACTATATCAGTTTGGTTACATCGGTACAAAAATCCATAAGTGTAGACAAGCCCTGAGTTACCTTCTGGTGGCCTTGAATGTCTGCTTATGGGCTGCTCCAGCAACCCTGGCTAGCCAGGCTGCACTGTGCTCCAGGCATGCTCCCATGCTGCAGTCTGTGCAGGAGGACAGTAAAAGACCCCCTCCTCCATCATGAGGCAGCTTTATCTAGTTTTCTGACCCTTTGATACCATGCAAGCAGCATACGGAGCCCAGAATTGCTCAGTTATTGCTGTGATTGCATCCCAGAGAATTAAAACCCAGGAATAGGGGATTTCAATGGGAACACAGTGCCCAGTGTCCTGCCAAACAGGTGCATTTTAAAGGCCCAGTCTCGCAAACACTTTTTACTGGCCATCATGCTTGCTACAGTGAGCATTCCCATTGGCTTCGTTAGCGGGTGTAGACTGTGCCTGCGAAATGGTGGAGGTCGGATTGAGACCTGGCTATAAATAAGGCCTAGAGTGGGGGATTTTATATGACACCCCCGCCCTTAACTGTCTCAGTTAGTTAAAAAGTTGACAGTAGACGTGCATGCAGCATGTTGTATTTTGATACTGAGCCTTGAATTCAAAGCGTTTAGCTGTAGATCCTGAACCTCAGAGTGATATGAGCTCAAGGCTAGAGCTGAGCGAATAATTGATTTTTCGGATTGGTGGCCAAACCGAAAAACGTGAAAAAAAAATCTGTTTCTTTTGAACTGAAACTGATGTTTTTTTCTTGCCAAAATGAAAAGCTGAAAATTTTTATTTGGGTTGAATGAAACATTTCAAATGTCAAGTCAAAATGACATTTTCAAAATTGTTTCAACATTTCCAAAATAATTTTTTCAGATGAAACAGTTTGCCAAATTCGCGAATAGTTTCAGTACCCCCCTGCCCAAATACATTGTCCAGTAAATTTTATATTTGCTGCAAAAAAAAAAAAAAATTTCCCAGCTCTATTCAAGATCAGGAACAGTTAAACTTCTCAAAGTGTTTGATTACATTATAAAATGCAGATGTATTTCTGTTTCCTTCAGTTTCCTTTGCAGTTTGTTTGCATGCTTTTAGTTCTGATGAATGTTTCCTTGCCATTTACTGAGCATTTTTACCTATTCCGAGAGACTGATTCAGGCTGTAAAACCCCAGAATAAGGTCTGGAACTTTAAAAGATAGGACTCCTGAAGGTACTGGTTGCTGATTCTTATTCTGGCTTTTGTCAGCATATTGGGTCAGATCTTTCTATCTAAGTACCTATCTGACCTCATCACCATAGAAGCTGAGCGCTTCATAGTTCTCACGACACCACGTGGGGCAGGGAAGTATTGCCCCTATTTAACAGACACACAAAAACTAAGGTCCAGATTTTTAAAGGTATTTAGGCATTGCTGCGCTCTGTGCTGCAACGCCCAAGTCTCATTTTCAAAAGCGATTTAGGCACTTAAGAACCTAAATCCCTTTTGAAAATAAGCTTTAGGCTCCTAAATAAGTTAAGCATTGCAGCACTGAGCACAGCAATGCCTAAAGACATTTAAAAATTCAGGCCTACCTGACTTGCCCAGTTTTACACGGGAAGTTTGTGGCTGAGCCAGGGATGGAACACAGAGCGCCTAAGTAGCAGGTCCTGTGTTTAAAATTCTCCTTTGCATTCCCCTGATTCCAAAGCTGCTCTGTGCAGGTTGGTCCCGCTGCTCTGGTTTGGGCAGTTAAAAAATTGCTTTAATTTATGCTGGGCTGTAATGGCCACAAGAGGCCGAAGACACAAGTGAGGATGGGTGTGGCATAGGGTCATCTTAGCAGTGCTTCCTTGTCCAAACTATACTAGCAGCAAGAATGAGGAGTAACATCAGAGTCCCTAAAACAGATCTACACTGCTTTGCAGTAGTGTGATCCTCGGACTGGCTTCTACAGCTTTAAATTCAGATTATGCTGACAGTGCAATGCAAAGCAGCTGCACCACATTAGAGGATCCAGCTAGTTGTTTTCCTGGAGACAAAAATTATAATTAATTTTGTTTTAAACTGAAAACACAAAATAGTCATCAGGCAATTCCAAATGTCTGTGTGCTGAGTTTTTTTTTTTTTTCCTTTTTAAATCCTAATTCACCAGTTCTCCTGTTTCACTGTAATTTGCGCCACCGTTTTCCTGTCTATATAAACCTCCAGAGTCAGGGATGTGAAACTAAGAAAAACATAGAAAAGAATTTATTTTCATATAGTGCCTTTCTGCACAAGCTTCCTCAACATGCTTTCCAAAGCAGCAAGGAAGATACTGGTCATGACTGTGTAGGCAAACATAGCATCCATGATTCAGTCAGCAATACTTCACACTATACTCTTGAGCATTAGAGGCCTGATCCAAAGACTGTTAAAGTTAATGGGAGCCTTTCCTTTGGGCTGATCAGTTTGTTTCCGTGGGAATTAGATCAGGCCTTAGGGCTGTCAAACTTACTCTTTGGAGAGGGCCAAATTCTGTTTGCCATTATGGTACCAGAGAGACAGGACTACGATGCTAGTGTCATGTGCAGCCATCACTGGGTGGCAGAGAACCCAATGATGGCAACGGGAGGTTTGCACAAAGAGCAAGGGTCCAGAATGGCTCGGTATGTAGCAACCAAGCTATTACTTAGTAAAATTACCATTAAGTTTTGCATCGTTTAGGCCCTGATCCAGCAAAACACTTGAGTTTAAGCATGTGAAGAGTCCTGTTAGCCTCAGTGGGACATGCTTAATGTTAAGCATGTGCCTAAGTGCCTTGCTGATCTGGGGTCTTTATGGAAAGGGATTTGTAGTGCATTTTTGGGATGACTGCTATTTCTGCTGTTTGTTTATTTGGCCAGGCTGTTTTGAATGCACCACTGTGGTAATTGCATGCACAATTGTGCATCTAAGTTATTAGAAAATCACAGTATTACCACTGGGCTTCAGAACCAACACCACACTGGGAGGAAACAGACAATTCACCCATCTCTTGGAGCAGATATTTCGGGCTTTCTAATACCTCACTGCATTGGGTCACACCTAAATAGTTAACTTTGCAATCAAGAGTCAACACTGAATTATTTTTGTAAATAAAAGTTTGCATTCTGCAGCATCTGAATTGGTCACTGGAGTCAGATAAACACATGAACAGGGTTGGCTCTGGGCCATAGGCTCAGAATCTGACATCCCTACACCACAGTCTGTTTTATCAACGTTTATACTGTAAGTGTTGGCCAGGGTAACTGGGTTCCTACTCATTTCACCAGCAGTGAAATTTTAACTTCCATTTGGAGGACTGCAAGAGGAGGGCAGAAGTGACCTTGATTTAACATCTTCTCCAAAAGATAATGTGGTGTAATGGTTCCTATTACTGAATTGCATGGTTGGCATTAGCTGAAAGCCCATATCTTGATGTGGTATTTGAACTTTTTGACTAGTAGGTGAGATTACTTATAATAACGCAACACTGGCAAAACAAGGGCAGAAATGCACCTGACGGACCCTGCAGCTGTCACCAAAATTCAAGCAGATACTTCTCATTTTTGTAATATCTTCACAGGCTCAGAATTGCCTTACAAAGCTGTACAAGCTGGATAAAATGCAGTTCCGGCAGACCATGAGGGACTATGTGAACAGAGATTCCCTCAATAATGTAGTGGATTTCCTTCACGCTTTGCTAGGATTCTGCATGGAGCCAGTCACTGACAGTAAGTACGGCTGGCATCACAAGCCCCAGTCACATTTTCCTCGATGACACACCATAGGGGATGCTGGCTGCCATTTTCAAAAAGGCGCAGTGAATTTCTAAAGGCAAAATGTAATTGTAATGACTAGGTTAAATCCTCAGCGGGTGTAAATCAGTGTAACTCCATTAAAGTCACTGGAACTACTTCGAATTACACCAGCTGAAGGTCTGGCCCTATAAATTCTTTTATTTCCAATACAATTGGAATTAGAGAAGCATACGTGCTCTTTCTTTTAATGCATCCTACCTGTTTGTTTACGGCTTTGTGAAAGAAAATTTTCTCTCAACTATGCCTCAGGCACGAGGTTTTCTGCTTAATAACATGACCAAATGCCAGCTGGAGTGGACTGTGCATTCTATGTTTAGTCTGAATGGAGATATAATTGAGCATTAAATCTCTCTGCAGAGCCTAAGGTGAGGCAGCAAATAGCTAAACAGATCATGTAAACAAGAATAGGAACATTCAGATTTATGTGCATACAGTGTAAGTCCATTTCTTTTAAGTTAGGCAAACAGTTCTATGCAGGGCCGCTGAGAGCGGGTACGAGCCCCGGTGAAAAAATTTTTTCGGGCCCCCGAGCCAGGGCGGACCGGCTAAACAGGGCCAACGAGAGTTGGGGGGGGGAAGCCGGGCTCCAGACCCCCTTCTGGACCGCCGGGCGCCAGTAATTTATACTGGCTTCCCCCCCCGGTCGGCCCTGGTTCTATGTATATATGGTACATGTACATTGGTCATTGCGTGCATAAGTAGCTAATTGTGGGCATTTGGAATATAGGAATTGCCATATCAAAACACACAAATAGTTTATCTCCTTGTCTATGATCCCAGTCACTTCAGAGAAAGGTGCAAGAAACACCATAGTGGGCAACTGTGAAATAACCAGCCCACAGGACAAGTTTCTTCTTAACACCCATCAGCTACACATTGGCTTATCTCTTCAAGGGATAAGCCCTCTCTTGTGAATGTTTTTGCCCTATCTAAGGAACTGTGGATGTTTTTGTTATCTATATAAATGTTTAATCTGTTGTTTGAATTATTCTTGGCCTCCATAGTACCTTGTGAGAGCAGTTTTATTGGTTAAAAAGAATTTCCTTTCATCAGTTTTAAATTGCTTTTCAATTTAGTTGAGTGCCCCCTTGTTCTGTGTTATCTGAGTGGGGAAACAGGGATGCCTGAATTGCCTTTCCTATTCCATTTGTTATTTTGTATCCCTCTGTTTTAGAGAGGCGATAAAGGGAGAGGATAAACAGTTTTGATCATTTCAATCTCTCTTCAAATGGCAGATTTTTCTATCCCTCTTCTTATTTGTGCAACTTATATATCTTCTGTATTGTTTATGAGGTAGGGTCACAAAAATTGAACATATGATTCTGGGTGATTTACGTCTTTTAATACATTTAAAAAGTAATTATGTATTTAATCTGTAATTTGTTAACACATCTCAGCCGAGCTGTGTGGTTTATTATGCTTGCATTTTGCAGACAAGGCTGGATTTGGAAATAACTTCACCACAGTGGACAACAAGTCTACGGCCCAAAGTGTGGAAGGTATTATTGTCAGCGCCATGTTCAAGTCACTGATCACTCGCTGCGCTTCCACTACGCATGAACTGCATAGCCCTGAAAACCTGGTGAGGCTTTAGGTGCAGGTTTTACAAGTTGAATTTCCTCTCTCCCTCATAAAGCAGCTGGGCTTGAAAATCAGGGCTTGATTCAATGAGACTTTATTCGCATGGCTAGCCAGACAAGTTTAAGAAAAAGTCATATCCTTCAGGTGTTTGTCAGGGGCAAATCTGACCCAGCCAGCATAGGGTCATACACTGTGTTTGGTCTTTGATCCCCTGTGTCTTCAAATGGGGACTCCATTTGTTTAATTGTGAATTTGACATTAATGAAAAGGAAAGACTAATAGCACTAAACTGGAGCTAGGAATAATGAGCTAGATCCCCAGCTGGGGTAAATCAGAGTACACCTCTACCTCGATATAACGCTACCCGATATAACACGAATTCGGATATAACGCAGTAAAGCAGTGCACCGGGGGGGCGGGGCTGCGCACTCCGGTGGATCAAAGCAAGTTCAATATAACACGGTTTCACCTGTAACACGGTAAGATATTTTGGCTCCCGAGGACAGTGTTATATCGAGGTAGAGGTGTAGTTCCATTGCCTTCAATGGAGATATGCCGGTTTACATGAGCTGGATGTGACCCAGTTCTGGTAGGTGCTGTGCAAGCTTCCTGAGTACAGTCCTACTAAGGTAACTCAGTCCTGACCTGCAGTACCTCTGTATTTCTCTAGTGCATCACCCTGGCTGCATACAAAAGGAATATTTGTTTCCCTCCCTGCTTGTATGCAAACTGAGTAACACAGCTCTCTCGCTCTCTCCTTTGTTATTCAGGGATTGTACTGTGATATCCGGCAATTGGTCCAATTTATCAAGGAGGCTCATGGGAATGTTTTTAGAAGGGTGGCACTGAGCGCCCTTTTGGACAGTGCTGAAAAGTTAATTCCAGGGAAGAAAACAGACGAAACAACTGAGCAGGATCTGAAACCTCCGGGGAGCAAAAAGTGTGTGTCTGGGAGAGATTTGTGTCTGAATGATTTATATACTGTTGTATAACTTATTATGCTGAACACTGTAGTAAGAGGGCCTGAAACATAAGGCCTTGTATCAGAGGCCTGATCTGAGGCCTGAGACCTGGTCTAAAGTAATGGTCAATACTTTGCTTTATATTAGCAAGTGAAGTTGTGAGCAAGAGGCAGGCCCTGCTCACAGAATTTGGCAAGCATAGGGTTGATATTGTAAAAACACATATTCCTAAGAGGTGCCGAGCACAAAACACTCACTCAAGCACATTCCAGAAGGGAGGTACCAGAACACCCCGATAAACAAATTCCCCAAAGATAACAGGAACATGCTGACCCATCTTAAGGATAAGGTCAGGATGACAACATAATGAATAGAGATGTTTTGATCGAACCTACAAGGCAATGATACAAGGCAATGGGTGACACCCAGTATGTTAGAGGGTGGCACCCTGATAAGTCAGGAGTGATACATAACTTGTTTGTTTTGGTGTATAAAGATGTATCTCAGAAGCAATATCTTTGTCTGGCCTAGGGGATAGTGGAAAGTCCCACCACTAACTGAGATGGTCCATTGTCACGAGCATACACATATTAGTGTACCTGTAACCATTGAGCCGGGGCATTAGCACCGTGCTTCGTTGGCAATAAACTTGACCAAGCACCTTCGCACCTTAATGAATTTTGTGGTCAGTGGGTGGTTCGCTTGAGATCTACTGTGCCAGCTATCTGCGCAGAGCTGGGATAGCACACATGGAGAACACACGCACGCAGCCAAACATCTGACGACAAACACAAATGTAGGAAAGTACAAGGGGTTGTTTGTTTTCATCTTGTTAGCACATGTCTGCTCCTGATGTACAGGACTTGAGTGTGGCAGTGACAGAAGCCACACTTAAAATTTAATAAAGTGTGGCAGCTGTGGAAGTAGCCATGAAAAATGTGGAGCCTAACAGAAATAACTGGTACAAAGGAAATAAGATAGCAAAGCAGCGGAAATTCTGGGGGATGGAAGAGTAGAGAAACAGGAGAAAGAAAGAGGCGGGATGGAGGTTGAGTGTGAAGGGATGATTGCAACCCCACCCCCAACATCATGTGGACATGGCTTAGTATTAGCATCAGTACCGTGAGGTGCTGAGAGCTGTTGGTCTGAATGCCTATAGTCAGGTGTGGGGAGCATGATACAAAAGAAACCTAGGTTGCTTTATTCCTTTGAAATGCTGTCTTGGGATGTGTTGCATTCAAGTGTGAGACAAAAGAATAAGTATGGATCAAAAAGGGAGCTTCAAACAGAACTAAATGAATTAGTCTCATGTAAACTGGCAGCATCAGATTTGTCGCATGATTTTCTTGGCCTCGGAGACATGCAGACCACACTGGCCAAGATTGCCAAAAGTATGTGGTCAATACTTTCTGATAATCTGCCTTGGCACCTCAGATTGAGCACCCACAAAATGAGGCTCCCAACATTGCTAGTAGCTTTTGAAAATCTTGGCTAGAGCTCTGTGCGTGACTAGCATAGAGCCCTGCAGCGGAACTGGAATCCCACAGGTTCCGCAGAACCCACTGCCATAACAGCGGGAGTGGGGTTTTAAAAAAGTCCTGTGCAAGTCTCTAATCTTGGCCTTGGTTCCCTGTCCCAATACATTTTTGATGACAATATGTGCATAGGCAGGCCAGTTGCTGTAATGGGGGCACACATTTAAATTTGTTTTTCAGAAGTGCTGGATTCAGTGATCAGGGAACAATGTTGATTATATGAGAAGCAAGATATGCCATCTGTTAACTTTATTTGACTGTCTGTATTGTCTGCATAGATCCGAGGTGGGAAGTGTTGTTATTGATAAAGGCCAGGCATCATCTGCCCCTGATGAATGTCGTAGTTACATCTCCAGCCGTCCTCAGCAGACCCCAGAGCAGTAAGTAAATATTAGTCTTGTATTACAGGTTTCTAAGAATAAAGAACAAAACAAGAACTGAAGAAAGATTTGATCAGTTGGGACACTGGTCTATCAATGTGAGATTTTCAAGAGCCCTGATTTTGCTCACCATATACGGATCTTCGGACTGGGAGGGAGGGAGAGGAGTTGATCAGCGGGGCCAGTGGCCCTGGGCATGATTCGCAGACTCCCTGGAGTACCAGATTCACAGACCCTAGTGTGAGAAACAGTGCTTTAGCATAATGACAGAAAAACAGAATGACTTTTTAGACTGTAAACTCTCTAGGGTAAAATTTGTCTTCATTGTGCAATATTGAGAATACTGTCTAGCTTAACAAATTACATCAAGAAGAATAAGTTTAAATTCTTTGAGTAACATATGCCAAGGAACAAAGAGAGGTTAGAAGAGGGGAAACTTGTTCAAATGTACTTAGCATACAAACCACAATGAGGTATTATTAACCCTGTGTTGTGTTCTCTTGCAGCGATGAGCAAATGCAAGGGGCGGTTCTGGGACGCAAAGACTTCTGGCGAAAGATGTTCAAGTCACAGAGTGCAGCAAGTGATACCAGCAGCCAGTCAGAGCAGGACACATCGGAGTGCACCACTGCTCACTCTGGAACGACCACCGACAGGCGCTCCCGCTCCCGCTCCCGACGGATCTCGCTCCGAAAGAAACTCAAACTCCCCATAGGTAAATGTATGTCCCTTTATATTATATATACATACTGCATGTGCAGATAGAATAGATCTGTTCTGTGTGTGTGTGTCGGATACTGTATAGCAAAGACACTTAGGCCTGGTCTACACTAACACCCCAATTCGATCTAAGGTACGCAACTTCAGCTACGTGAATAACGTAGCTGAAGTCGACATACCTTAGTTCGAATTTACCGCGGTCCACACGCGGCAGGCAGGCTCCCCCGTCGACTCCGCGGTACTCCTCTCGCTGAGGTGGAGTACCGCAGTCGACGGCGAGCACTTCCTGGTTCGAATTATCGCGTCCAGACCAGACGCGATAAATCGAACCCGGAAGTTCGATTGCCAGCCGTCGAACTACCGCGGTAGTGTAGACATACCCTTAGTGTCTGAGTGCCTTACAATCTTTAATATGTTTATTCTCACAACACCCCTTGTGAGGTAGGGAAGTGCTATTTTCTCCATTTTACAGATGGGGAAGTGAGACAGAGAGAGAGACTAAGTGATTTGCCCAAGGTCACACAGAAAGTCTATGGCAGAGCAGGGACTTTAACCTGGGGCCCTCATCACTGGACCATCCTTCCTTTCTCTCTAAGAGAAGCTTTCCAAGCAGACTTCAATAAGAAAGGAAGAATAAATATTATTTGTCCTTTCTCACTGACCCGTGTTGATTTTCAACTTTTACAATCCTAAAACTCAGCCTTGCATGTTATGAATTCAACTATGGTCTTTGATGCATGTAGCATGAACACGCCTCGTCCTTCACCCTTTTCTCATGTCACGGTACGACTGTTTCAGCGCTATAGAGAAATATGCCTGTATTGCTGATGTATTCAGCTTGGAGCAATTGCAGAATTGTCCTGACTGGCTTTATCTGCATCAGGGAACTGGCTGAAACGCTCTTCCCTCTCTGGGCTGGCCGACGGGGTGGAAGACCTCCTGGATATCAGCTCTGTAGACCGTCTATCTTTCATCAGGCAAAGTTCCAAGGTAAATGTGTCATTTCAGATTAGTAGGGAGGATAAAGGGATAGGGTCTGGCTACTTCACAGATCACTTCTAACTCCCAGAGAAAATACTATGATCAGCATGGATATTGCAGCTGATGGGACTCAGGGACAAAACCCTCAGGAGCTGGGGCTTTCGGTAGAGTGGGGGTGGGAGAAAGAGAAAACCTTCCCCCAGGCCATGGAATTGTAGCACAGCTGCTCCTTGGAAGCTGTTCCAGACAAAAGGCAGGAGTAGTCTCTTTGGTCCTAGCATTCCCCCACTCCAGCCCTCACAGAAGTGAAAGGCCAGAGAGTCCGTTCAGTGGTGGGTCTGTTACCCACGCTCCTCCCTGCCCTCCGTGCTTTCATGCACAGAGATCCAATGGAGCTGCACTTGCACAGCCCTGTGCAGACCTCCCAAATCCTGCTTCTCCCCAAAGTCCAGCATAACCACACCATGGGGGAGGCAGCAGGATTTGTCCCTTGAGCATAGTGTAAGACAGGTCCTCCCTCAAGGAAAGAGGTTGAAAATGGCAGGTGACTTTTTCTCTTCCCTTGAGAGGAGGGAGGAGCAGAGTGGAGATGGTCCATAAGGGGACAGAAATTATTCTCCTTCTGTATTTTTCTAAGCAGCACCCAGTGCTGTAGTATGGGACACACTAGAAATACACTGAAGAGGAGCTTTGGAAGCAGTCGGTCTTTGGAAAGATTAGGGAACAGCTGAAAGACACAGTTTTGTGAGGATGCATGTGATTTGAAAGGCTGAGAGGTAAACAATGAGTGATGAGGTAACAGAATAAGGATGGCAGTAAAATGATGTTATCATAGCAGTGAGGAGGGGGGATATGCGTCTAAGCAACAGAACAGAAAAGGAAGAGTGTAATGACTGGTATCTAGCAGCATCTCAAGACTTCCTTCTGGGGAAGTGAAGAAAACTGGGTTAAATATGCTCCATGTTTCATTCTTGTTATACGCTGTCTAGAGACTTGTCATTGTGCCTTCTTTGGTCTTCCATATGAACAGTGTCACAGGAATGAAGTGTCAGTGTAATTAACATTTCGTTTCTCCTGCTCGTTCTTTTCACTCAGGGTTATCTGGGTCCTCTGAGTATACCTAATGTACTTTACTAGTTGGTCATGCTGCTTTTTCCTTACTTGTATCTGTATGAACCCCTGTGAAAGAAGGGGAAAGGCTACCTAGTCAAATTACAGAATACTTAATATCCTCACCTAGTGCATATGGGCACAGTTCCTGTTCTGTTGCTATAGTAATGTACCACAATACTGTCTGTCCTTAAGTGCTGCATTGCTATGGCAAAGTTGGTAGAGAAATCATAACACATCAGAACATGAGTCTTGTCTCCTCATTTGTTCAGGTGAAATTCACTAGTGCAGTGAAGCTGTCCGAAGGTGGACCGGGAGGTGGCCTGGAGAATGGGCGTGATGAAGAGGAGAATTTCTTCAAGCGTCTTGGTAAATGGCGCATCTGCCGAAGATACCCATCCAAGCTTCATCACACAGAAGAAAAAGATGGTTAGAAATCAGGGTTTTCTTTTTCTTTCTTTCTTTTACCCCTTCCCCACTCCTTACTTTCTCCATGGTTTTTGTATCCATTCTGTTCTTCTCCAACTTTTCATTCTTTGTAACCATTTTCTTTCTCTTCCTTCTTTCTTTCATTTTGATTAAAAAAAAAAACTCTAGCAAATGTGGAGAATGTGGAAATAAAAAAAAAAACTAATTTGTCCAAATAAATTAAGCTAATGTAACATTTGGACTTTCAAAAACAAAGTCAAATTAAATCAAATCAGCACACTTGAAAAATTTGTATTTACTTCAAAACAATGATTCAGTCTAAAAGAGGGTGTGTGAATCTTTCAATCCATAATATAATGATGGATGCTCCATCAGTTCTTTTTCCAATTAGTGACCATATGACAGTTTTTTAGAAAAATTCAGCACCGATGAAATGGAAAACCCTGTACAAACCTTGTTTTAATTATCTCTTTTCTTCTGTGTTTGCATGTCTAACGTCTGCATACCATTCGTTAAAGAGAAGCTGTCCCTTTTTCTCAACAAAAGAAATAATTATAATATTTGATCGTAATGCCATTTTTTTTAAAAGCAGTGATGTTTGTTTGAAAAGTGCCTTTATTAAGAGGATATTATATTTTCAAGTATCATACAGCAATCCAAACTCAGCTCAGAAACCTGATACTTGTTACCAAGGAGACATTTTTGCATCTTGACATTCTATTATTTTTGTTTTAAAAAAACACATAGTTTGATCCTCCCCCCCATTGCTTCTGCTGTTTTTATAGTATATTACATTCCCTGACATTACATTTTACATGATCTGACATTACACCATGGCTGCACATGCTCATTTTGCTATCATATGACACAGGCTTGCACAGGAATCACATGGTCGGGGATAGCAATAGCAGCCAAGTACGAGTGTGCTTTCCAATGTTAGCTTCATACAGAAAGTGATACGGCCTGATTTTTGATCTCACTAACACCACTGAAGCGTCCCTGATTTACAGGGGGCTACCACGCTCCTAATTTACACCAGTGTAAATAAGATCAGAATTAGGCCCATAGTCTTGTCATCAAAGATGTCACACTTGATATGAATAATATCTATGCATCTCCACTGAAAAGATAAGTTGTTAAGAAAGAATCGATGTTCAAACAGGCCACATTCTAAGGATGATACACAGCTTCAGTCCATGGGCAAGAACTTCAGTTGATGTAAACTGATGTAGCTCCTTTGAGCTGGCTGATTCAGATCATGCGAGGGCACAGTTCCCAGTTACACCAATGGGTGTCACACACCCAGCAGAAGAGGTGTAAATAGCCTGTTTTTACATACATTTCAAAATGTGGGCTGTCAGTGGTAGAGTGGAGTCCCTTTTGATCAACTGTTTCTAGTACATGTTGATTGATTTCTCGTACAGCATGACTTTTATCAACATACCACATGCCTCAGTATTGTCGTGGCTTTTCTTTGCAGAACTGATAGATGCACCCTCATATGAGTTATCAGATCATAATATGCATGGCATGTTCTCATGTATTATGAGGGTGTATAAATGGGATTGTTTTTTGTAGTGCATGTGCAGTTACACTCTTGGCCAGACACAGGCCACTGCTGCAGCTGCCCTGCACCAGTTCTCCAGTACACAAAGGCTTCAGTGCCAGCCCAATCTGCAACCTCAGCATTGTACCCTCATGGGAAATATTCTGGCACGCGCAGGCTGGTGTGGTGGCTTCTCTGTCACCCTCACCTTGGCCCCCAGGGTTGGGGGCATGACCAAAGAAAAGAGCCTGGATGAAGAGCTGCTTCATTCAGCTCATCTCTGGCTGCCATAATGGCACAACATGGAGCAGCCCTGAGACTACACTAAATTGTACTTTGGGACTGACCCAGCACCCACAGCCCTAGGATTGGGAGGGGGCATGTAAAGGTGGCTCACAGCTATCTTTGCACCCACTCTCCACAAACTGCACTGTCACTAAAAAAGTCATCCCTGTGGAATCTGGCCCTAAGAGCCTCAGGAACAGTCCTTTGCCCAAAGCTCAGATGCAGCTGTACCCATCTGCAAAATAACGTACCACCCTTCGCTTACATTTCACTAGCATCTTTTTGTCTTGTTTGCTTTTATCTATACTTGCAGCTTTTCAACACCTACCTCTTCCCAGCTATTAACCTCAGATAGGCATGTCTGAGCAAAATCTGGCCAAAAAATGTCCAGGAAGAGGCTAAGCCAGCATGATGTTCTCCACATTTATCATAAAATGCAAAGAGCCTTTCTTTATTCTCAGCTTGGAGTGACAGCCAGAGAGCTCCTGTTGTTACTCTTTGGTGCTATTAATTTGATATTGCAAAGTAAGGGCATAAGGCTAGGAGCTAGAGATATGAATGCAATGAGCTATTCAACATCTAATGCTTTTCACAAATGTCCAGACTGGAAATCTAAGCCTGATCTTGCACATCCAAAATTCCCATTGAATTTAAGTCTCCAACATTTCATGCACAGAATTCAAAGTATGGATGCAAGTCAAAAATAAAGTTTGTTTATTCTGTGTTACTTTATATAATAGTGTATGTTACATGTAACATATCTTATGCATTTGTTCTGCTAGGATGTTACACTGGTTATTACCTATGTGAACTTTGAACTAGCTAAAGTATTTCAGCACTTTGTGATTAATACGTTATGTTACATAACTACTTTTATTTTGAAAAATCGGGACATCTCTTTCACCTGCCCAAGAGCAAAGTATGTTAATATTTATTTGTCTGTATGTAAGTAGAATTAAGTGGGCCATGCCTGGCTTTTAAACACAATGTCTACATTAGAAATTCATAATAACTGAGGGGGCATGAGAGTTAAGAAAAGGTCCTTATGAAAAAAACCCAAACAGATAAATCAATCAGTAATGTTCATGAGTGTAGTTTGTCACCTGTGAGTTTCTGAAAATCAAGGGAGCTTAAAGACCTTTTTGTAAATCTCTAGTTTGAAAGGTAAATTGTGAAAGTCAAGGGAGCATGTAATCATATCAGAAAGGAATTTTTATACACAATGAGATGTAGCTCAGCAAAATTTTTACATACAATACACATTTGTGTATGTGTGTAAATATATATATATAATTTTTACATATATGTGTGTGTGTTATATAAAATTACCCCAGTCTTGCAAGTTACTCTGTGTGGGCAGACCTCCTGCAACCATATGCAATAACTTACAGCATCAAGGCCTGTGTGAGTGTACATAATGTGTGTGTAGACACACATATAATAATACTGTATAGTGCACACACACCTTATAGTATATTTTGTGCTTCAGATGTCAATTTCTGAATTTGTGATTTCATTTGAACATGAGGTTGAATTATCATGACATTTGTCAGGTCTGAGTTAATCATATTCTGTGCAAGGCCTTCTGGGGCATGAGGGTTAATAAACATCAAAAAAGTAATAGAAAGATCCAAATATATACAGGGATGAAAAATTTCCTTTGCATTCATAATTTCCATTGAGATCAATGGGAGTTATATTTTTAAGAGGGGAGAACAAAAGGCTTGTTAGACTGGATAGGTGCTATTAAATCATGAAGAACCTGATGGCTGGATGGACCTGGGACAGTGTTTTTTGTCAATGTTGCTGTCCTTTCTCCTTTTCAGCATTCTTGATGCTGTGCTGTGACATCATTCTGCTCACGCTTTCTCCATGTAGTGCTTCCTTCTGCCTTTGTTTTAAAAATATGACAACTGAGTAAAACCAGGACAGAAAAACAAGCATGCATTACAGTGAACAGAAACAAAAAACCTATTAAACCTGGAGTCATTTTGTCAAGTTGTTTACGAGCTGCTGCTTTCATCATCATTTGTCATCTAAGTCATTGAGAGTTCTATGTATTTCAAATATATGTATGCATTATACGGTTCATCATTTATTTAAAAGGGCTTTTACCTATAATCAGAATACAGCTAAACAGGCAAGCAGTAATTCAAAAAGGATGTTAATAAATTGGAGAGTGCTCAGAGAAGAGCCATGAGAATGATTAAAGGATTAGAAAACGTGTTATAATGACAGATTCAAGGAGCTCTATCTATTTAGTTTAACAAAGTGAAGGTTAAGGGGTGACTTGATTACAGTCTATAAGTACCTACATGGGGAACAAATATTTAATAATGGACTCTTCAGTCTAACAGAGAAAGTATAACATGATCCAATGACTGGAAGTTGAAGCTAAACAAATTCAGACTGGAAATAAGATGTACATTTTTAATGGTGAGAGTAATTAACTATTGAAACAACTTATCAAGTGTTGTGGTAGGTTCTCCATCACTGACCATTTTTTAAATTAAGATTGGATATTTTTCTAAAATATGCTCTAGGAATTATTTTGGGAAAGTTCTATGGTCTGTGTTACACAAGAGGTCACACTAGATGATCACAGTGGTCCCTTCTAGCCTTAGAGTCTGTGAATATATTTTATATTCAATGCATTTTTCATTGAATGGAGTTACTTTGATTTACACTAGCTGAGGATCTGGCTCAGTTAATGGAAATCATTGCCTATCCTAATGAGAGAGCTTCATCTGTTTAGGGAGTTCTATATTTTTCATTCCCATTTGCTGGATGTACGCAAGATCTCTTCTCTGTGCAGGCCTGGTGGGTGCTATGCACATTAATTTTTTTTTTGCTCTATGTTGTATAAATTGAAGAATATTGTAAACTTTGCATTGATATTGTGATACAGTGGCCATTAATTGTATCAGGCGAAATATACCAGGTAGTTAGGAAACAAAGGCATCGGAAGAATAAGCAGTAATGTCCATTCAACTAACACGAGTGTTCTTGTTCCTTTTCTTTTTTCATTTGGATGAAATCTGTCCCGGGATAGAAATGTTTTGCTGTTGGACACTATGTAGCTTAGCTGGATATAGGACAGCCATGTACTTTCATTCTTACAAGAAGATTTTTTAAACTTAATTCATCTTTGTTTGCATGATTAGGCTTAATAGTTTGGAAAAGATTTTCCATGTATCTATTCTGGGGTTGTCATTGTACTATATAAGTGCTTCCCAGGTAAATCTTCATGGTAAGGTCCCTTAGTGGACTTGGAGTTTTCTGCTTTTCTCCTCTCCCTAGGTAAAGAATGTCCTTCAAAGGTGGTGCCCTGCCTTTGTCTGTTACATCCATGTTAGAAACAACTAGAGTCCCCAGCCCAAAGTTCTAAGTTGCTTTATTATTGAGCATTCTGTAAGATTCCTCAATGATGAGAGGTTCTTCCTTATGCCTGTAAACCAAGGAAGTTGGGATAGTTTTGTGGACAAAGCAGGAAAGCCCATGATCTGGAGATTCTTGACTTTGGCTTGATTCTGCATATGCTTCTGCAGAGGGAGGTGGAGAGTTTATACTTTTGATTGTGGTGAATGGTAATCATCTTAGACTTGAAACTACTTTTCAGATTTATCCTCTGAGTCCCGTCTAGTCCTCCATCAGCTCTACTGAGGTACTCAGGTTTTCTAGCTTTGTTTCCTTAGAGGTGATAGAAGTGTTTGTATCATTTATTATGTAGATCTTCTGTCAAAGCTTTCAGAAGAGCTTTCCTTTGAGAAGGCAAAAATGGCAGCTGAGCCATGTGCAATGTTGAGGTCATGTGGGTGAAGAAATCCAATTGATCTCCCTTGTTTTTGCCTTTGGGAGGGTGTCCGGCTGAAATGAAAGCTCTTGGATACTCCCTAGCTGTGCTTTAGTTAGAATATTTTTAATTTCATTGTGTTTTCCCAACTAATTAATATTTATTTCATGTACCTTCCACAAGCCACACCAACTCTGTCACTTGTTAGGCTCCGCCTACGTACTTACCTTCCTCAGGGGAACCTTGGTTCCAGTCTGCAATGTGACTAGCTGACGTGTCCCGTGCAAGTAACATGTTATTGTATTCAAAGGAGGCTTTATGGGCGTCATTTTCAAAAGTGACTAGTCATTCTGGGTGCCTCCATTTTTAGGTGCACTGCATATGAGACATCTTAAAGGATTTACAGAAGGTGAGTGCTGGTCACTTTCTGAAAATCAGGCCTTGACATAAGGTGTTTCAAGGTGGGCTCCCCAAAATAACTAGTCACTTCTGAAGATTTAGGCCTACATAAGTAACAGCTGATCCTTGCCTTGGCCTTTTGGAAGAATTATTACTCATGTGTGTCCTGCTCAAAATATAATATAACATTTGTTAAATTAATAGGTAAGGATAAATGCATATTCTTCCTTAGGGAGAAGGAAGATGATAAGCTAAGATAGAGACCGATAAATGAAAATAATCTAAATAGACTGACCAGGAAGTGCGGAGAGGGAGAGAGCCTGAGAGCCCAAACAGGCAGAAGACTCGATACTGTATTTACATATTTGAAAAAAGGCCACGGACCAACCATATTCTGATCTAATTTACACTGGAGTAAATCTAGAGCACCTCCATCCAAGTCCAGGGAACCACTTTGGATTTACACCAGTAAAGCCATGTTCAGAATCAGGCTCACAGTTTTCAGTCACTCGTTGCGATGGAAATTGTCACAAGTTGTATCAAATTGAGGGGAGGGAAGGGAACTGGGTCAGGATCATGCATACCAGGATTCCTGTACAACTCGTTTTTTTATCTGTGAGGTATTGTGTGTCCCTTCTCTTCCCTGCTTCTCATCCCCCACCCCCCACCCTGGACCCCCTTTGTACTCTCTACCTCCTCAGGTTGCCACAGTTTTGATGATCACTTGGCCTCCAACCAGGAAGGTGGGAAATCCAAGAACGTAGTGAACCTGGGAGCAATCAGACAAGGCATGAAACGCTTTCAGTTTCTCTTAAACTGCTGTGAGCCAGGCACTATCCCCGATGCCTCCATCCTGGCAGCTGCCCTCGATCTTGTAAGTCATTGCACAAGCATTCATTAACATAGTTCTTACCTGCTGAGCAATAATGTACAAACTGGAGTGTATTGAGATGCTACTGTCATTAGTTAATGTCTAAAGCGCTATATAAATATGAAGTGTTGTTAATATTAGCTGAAGTTTTAATGTGTGTGACTGTATAAAGATGCACAGAAAATGGGTCTCCATTATTATACTAATCCTCTTAATAAGATTATTGCTAACATGAAGTTTTTATATTCATGCTGCAAATTGCACAAACAGTCAGAAGCTGTCCCTTTGCAAACTTCTTATAACAATACCAAGATACAGGATACAGAGTAAAGGACAGGTGACTGCCAGATGTGGAGCTATAATTCCACTGAGGGTTTCTGGTGGTCTCATAAGTAAAGTGAAGCATGGCGGTTAGTCACCAGAGACACTCAATTGAAAAAACGCCAAGGCTCAACATTTGACTGTTTTTAATGTATATACTAATAACTCATGGATCCAAGTCCCAGACAATCCAAGTCCACTGTTCCATCCTTGCTCCCGCTTGTACTGTCATCTCCTCCACTCCTTCCCTCCGTTGCTGTCTTTGTCCCCTTTCTTACCTTTGTGCTGCTCTCTCTTTTCCCACCCCAGTCTCTGAGGACATCTACAGCTGCTGACTTCCCACACCCTTCTTTTCTTTGTGACTGTTGCTGGATCTGTGTTCATTTGCAGCCTTAGCACCCTCCTCTTCACTACTCTCTAGATTTGCTCAGTGGCTTGTCCACCCAGGGTAGCTTTCTGTCCCGGCAGTGTTGGTTGGGTAAATCTCATAATTCATGAGTTGGATATCACACCTGTGAATCACAACACACTTTTTTTTTTACATAGGTTGTATTGTTTTTAACACTGTAAACCACAGCCTGCCACCCGCTATGCTGCAGGTTCAAATCCAACCTAGACCAGTACTGGCCAAAAGTTGCTGTTGCCATCTGATGGCTATTCAGTTTTCTGCATGCAATTAGGGAGGTGGGTCTCAGTCCATTTCCCAGTTGACAGGTGTGGGCTTCACTAAAGCCCACCATCATGGCTGGCACTAATTGGCACCTGGGCTGGCTGCAGTGCCAGCAGAGTAGGGGAATGCTGAATCATCCAGGAGGTTGAACTACCTTTTCGCCCTCAGTCATGGGGTCCATGCCAGTCAGGATTGAGGCAGGCTTGCAGGGCTGGATGGGAAGGCACTCACTCCAAATGCCTGTGCTATGGCAAGAGGACTTCTTTCTCCAAGACTGTCAAGCTTCTACCCATCACAAGCACTAGATTAACAAACACAAAATGTAAGAAAAAAACGTTCACTGCAGCCTCATAGACGCTGCACTGTGCCACTTTAAGACCTTTCTTGAAATCTGTACGTCATGTACTGTAACAAATTATACCGCCTCCAAGAGCTGTGTAAGAGAGAAACATGCAATGTGGTATCAATCTGGCAAGTGACAATGTCCTTCCTTATTGTTAAGCTGTGTGGGGGGAGGGATAGCTCAGTGGTTTGAGCATTAATCTGCTAAACCCAGGGTTGTGAGTTTAATCCTTAAGGGGGTCATTTAGGAATCTGGGGATGCAAAAAAAATAGTTGGGGGATCGCTCCTGTGTTGAGCAGGGGGTTAGACTAGATAACCTCCTGAGGTCCTTTCCAACCCTGATATTCTATGTGTCCTGTGTTTAAACCACAGGACCACTCTCTGCATTCTCACTTATTACGATAACTGCAAATGTACCAACAGGACAGTGATGTGTTTATACTACATATGACCTGGGGAATGCTAGGAGCTGGCTTTCGAAGCTGAGTTTCACTCTCCATCCTTTCCCATTAGATAGGTAAAAGCCTTTGGTTCAAATCTGGAATGGGGTTGCCTGACAAAAAAGAATGATAAATTCCCTGGGCTGGAAACTGACCTCAGTTGCAGTGCTTGTAAATCCAGAGTGTAACTGAGATTACAATTAGTTAAAAATAGTATTGATTTTACTGTAATCTCCACAAAAGGGTATGCTGTATTTAGTATATTTTGTATTGCGTAATCACATACTATTTTTCCCACAAAAGCCCTGCCTCATTCATTGCCCAGGATGGACCTACTCTGAAGATGAATCAGATTTGTGTAGTGAAGGAGACTGTTGTCTGTAGGTCCCCTGCTGGATTTGTTGCAGAAGTTGGCAGGTGTCTAGTGAATGCGGCAGGGGATTGCAGGAAGAAAAAGGTTGGTCTTGTGAGTAAGACAATTGAATGCCACACAGGAGAATTGGATTTTATCCCTGCCTCAGCCACAAAGTTCCTATATGATGCTGGGCAAGTCACTTAAACTTTTCACATGTGGTCACTAGTTATATGTTCCCCATTTTCTGGGTGCCTAACTTGAGATCCTGGATCCTGATTATCAGAAGTGCTGATCCCTCACCGCTGCGACTGAAGTCAGTGGGAGCTCTGCTTTGCACATATAAAGTGCTATATAATGCTAAATGATCTGGAGAATCAGGCCCTGGGCATCTCAAATTGGGCACCCAAAATTATTGAATACGTTTGACCTTAACCTCTTTATGCCTCAGACCCCCATCAGTAAAATGGGGGATCATACCATCCCTTCACTTCACACGGGTGATGTGAAGATAAATTAATGCATGTCTGTGAAGGCTTCAGTTAGTGTAGCAATAAGCACTACAGAAAAGCCCATGAGGAAATTAATAATTGCATTTTCTGAGCAGGGTTTGAATAGAGTTCAATAAATAAGGCCTTGGAGCCATGCACTGAACAATGAGAAAGGAAAACATTGAATAGCTGCTCATTAAATGAGCACCGTCCATTCTGTGCACTGAATGAGACAGGTGGCCTGTGGAAAAAATGCTATGTGATCATATAATTACAGACTGTATCAGAATGCATGTGCACCAGGGGGCTGAATTAAGGTTGCATAGGCAACCTTAATTCTGGCATTTTGTAACTTTTGAATGCTTGACTTTGCAACCTTAATAATGTTCTTTTTGCATAGTTTGTGTGTGTGTGATACATATGTAGAAAGAGACATTCAGCAGCTGCTAAGCAACGACAACTCTCACTGATTTAAGCAGAAGTTCAGCAACTCTCAGGATTTGTTCAATAATTTCAAATGAAAAGAAAACAGACAAACACTTGGAATGAAAACTGTGTTTTTCAGCAAATTTAATCTTTCAGAAATAAGACAATACAACACAGCTTTTCAATCTAGGTCTTGAGTATTTGATTGGAGCACAGAACTTTTGTTATTTCTCCTTCTGTGTTGGACATCTGGAAAAGGTCTGAGGATTGGTTTTAAAAATGAAGATGTTAAGCTGTAGTTCACAAGCCCAGAAAGATCAAATTTCCTGGTCATAAGGACTGGCAATGAAGGGAATCTGAGGAAAAGGCAGCTCTGAATAATTTCCAGTGCTGCCCTTAATTTAGCAGCCACTGATCCTCTTGTTTCAGAAGCTACATTGCACCTAGGATCCTGATAGCACTATTGAGCTGATGGCCAAAAATAAAATACCCCCTAAATCGATCAAAGAGCTCTATTAAAGGGTTCCAACGTGAGCCAACAGATTGTTCATGACAGGGTGTCTCTACAGGAAGGTGGGAGGGATATGAGAACTAAAAGTGATGGGAATCCTTAGTTATCACTGAGAACTGTGTATGGCTATGAAGTCATTATTATTACAAGAACGTTGAACTAATAAGGGATTTACAGTGAGTTCACTCTTTCCAGCGTCTTACTAGCTAGTTGGGAGTCTGGGAATGGGAGGCAGAGGAGAAAAAATATTAAAGCTTCCTGAGGTATTTTCTTTTCTTTGTTTTCTAGACATTCCTGTTGTGTCTGTCTTTTCTGTAGTCTCAAAAAGGATGGCTACTTTTGGCACAGAGCACAGAATTATATTTATGATCTGGTCACTGAGCTTGACGTCCTTGTAACCCAGCAGATGGGAGCCAGATATGCACAGTATGGGCTGGGATGAATAACTTGCCCCATTTTTGGGAAGTTGGGGCAGGGATCTAGTGCTACAGAGAGAAAATTCACAACACATGTCAAAATCAATATTGTTTTCACTACACCCTCTTTTATTTTCCCTTCAGATTTATATCTGCCCTAGCTTTTTCTTATGACACTAGCAATGGCAGTCAGTCAGTCCTGGGTTATTGCATTGGGCTCTCTCTACTAACATTTTGGCAGATCGTTTCTGATCTGTGTAGCCTGCCATAAGCAGAGGTTTATCTTTTGGGAAGCTGTGGGTATGAGTTGTGTTCAGTTTGACTCAAACATGTCTCCAAGACCAAGGCTTCTAAATTGTTGTTTAATCTGCAACAATGGAGTAGTCCTTACTGTATTCCATTTGCTTTGTATCAATTCTACAGAGTCAGTGACATGTTTTAGCTTTAAGATGTCATATTCACTGTACATTTGAAAAGCTGTCAGTATGTTATTCTACTGCATTGGCCACAGGCAAATTACACTATTATGAAAAAAAGCTTTCAACTTCTTTAAAGCAAAGAAAAACACAGTTTAATACAAAGTGTATTTTTAAACTGATGTTTCCAAGCTTTTCAAACATTTGTGTGATTTAGATTTGATGCAAATTAAAAGCTCCTTATTTTAAATGATTTCCCCTAGCCATGTTGCTATGACAACTGTTAAAAATTAGGGGCAATCGGCTCCAATTTCAGTCTAGTTCAACCTTCATCAGCATGTTTTTCATGCAGACTTTCACAAGTAATTCCATTCTTAAAGTGATCAAAGGATCTTTGATTAGCACAGATAGTTTAAACATATTTGCCACTGCAACTTAGAGAAATTAGAGCAGTGGAACAAGAGCCATAGGTATTAAAAGGTAGTGATTTATTATATACATTGCACCACAGGGTGCCTTGAAGACTAGAAGCTACTTAGTAACGTATTATCCAAGAAGTGACATCCATCCCGGTTTTGTAAAGCTGGGTGGTAATGGGTTACCAAGTGTTTTATGAG